ATGCAAAAAATTTAATCAAAATAATTGCGCAATACTCAATCACTACCTTATATTAAAAAATTGTCAAAACTGATAAAAAAATCGAATAAAACAATAAAAAGACAAAAACCGCTTCTCGTGAAAGGTTGAAATGCGAAAAAGTACAAGAAGCATATAAAGGAAGTAAATGCAAGAGAATCACAAAATAGTTTAAGATGACTACATTAGTTTATAAGAAAAGTGAAAACTTAAAGATAATCAGCCACGCAAACGACAAATAAACCGACCAAAATCCAAAAGTAGCTTTTAGTCAATACACGAATGCAGAAGAAACATAAAAAGGATATAAAAAATGAATACAAGAGAATCAAACACTATTTCAACATCGCTTTATAAAAGAAGCGAATCTGATGGATGCAGAGCCAAATCAAGCACAAGGCAAAAAAGCACAAAAAACTAGAAAACGATTTCCGTAAATGTTTCAGATGCAAAAATTATTTAAAAAAATTGATGCAAAAACAAATAAACGTAAGAGAATAGCGCAATACTAAAACAGAAGAAGTAAAATCTGATAGATACACACCCAAATCAAGCGCAAGGCAAACAAAACTGCAAAAAACCAGAAAACGTTTCCCGTGAATGTTTCAAATGCGAAATATTATCAAATAATCAAATACATGCAAGAGAATAGCACAATACTAATAATGAAGTAGAATTAAAAAAAACTGGTAATTGACTAAAACTGTGACAAAAAAATTTTTATTGACTCTTTGGTCAAGTGCCGTGAAAAACATGCAACTTCAAAATGGCAATGAAACTTGGATTGTACGATTTTAATAAGCAATGTTGATACAAAACAGTATCAGATTATTCAATCCTTTAATAGTTAAAACAAGGAAGAAATCATGTAAACCCTAATGTCTTATAATGCACATCAAATCTCCAAACAGTAATTCAGCAGAGAACTATAGATAATATGCTTATGAGTCTATTTAAATATTGACACAATATGCGTTTTAATTAATAATATCCACCTTGCAAAATTTCAATCGTTTTATTGAATCTCACAAAGGTTTTCGACAATGTTTCTTTCAAACACCAGCATATACATCAACGTCCCATAAAACCAACAATGTATCACGTTCTGACCCCAAAAATGTAGCTTTACTGGTTAAATTGCAGGACTACAACAATAAGCACACGAAAATTCCAAAATGCCAGCATTAAAAATTGTTGAATTAAAAAACTCAGTTAAATTCGGCCTTTTTAACTGAACACGAGTCGGATTAATGGCTCAAAAATTAATTGGGAAAGGCCCTTTAAAGTGCCTATAATATCTAAGACCATCAGTTTTTAGGGCCCGCATTATTTCCCGTCGTTCTGGTTTATGTTGCCCTAAAAAACACATTATTGAGTGAAATGCGACTAAAGCAATTGGATTTAATGAATGTATATATGAAAAGGCTGAAAGTTTGGAGGAGCTTTCATATAATTTTTAATTTCACATAATCCTGCGTTAAAGCAACACTTGGCAAGGATAATGTAAGTTCTACATTTTGCGAAGATTCTAGAATATTTGGAACAGTCCAGAAGCAGAAAAAATTGTCAAATATTGATGATGTCCAATAAATGAAACGTTGCATATATTACTACTTGGAACCTGCGTGTATATAGATAATCATCTGGTTGGTTTATGTGTAACTATTTGCATACGAGCCTTCTCAGTATTGATGCGTTGATGTTGGAGAGCGACACACTGAATAAATTCGAATAATGTATACAAAGAACGAATTAGAAAATAAAAGTATTTATACAAATAGCTACCATAATTATAACCGACCCACTGGACAAATTTATTCGGAGATTAAATTGGAAGACAAGAACAATAACTAACTTAAATTTAACGAAAGAGACGTGCCAAGGTATTAATGGGAACAGTCGCAGGGGAAAATAAAAATTTTAAAATGCAAATTTTGACGAAATTATACAGATTTACCATTGTTGGGAATAACTTGTGCATATCATTTACGTCGATGTTTAAAAGCGCTTGGGTTAATTGCAGTGACTCAGATACAATTTTCTACTTGTCCAGTATTTATCCCAATAATCCACAAATATTGATAAACCATTAGATATAAGAATCAATCTGGAAAATATTACAAAAGACAATTGCTACATTAGTCAACATTTTTATGGTGAACCGTATAGTTTTTATGGTGGTATTTAAACACCAATTCATTCAGAAAGGCGTTCTTCCTTGCCTTTCTTCAGTCAGTATTTGAACATATTAAAGTTAATCAATTAATCAATAATAATTATCAACTTTGTTGTTCTGTTGGACGAAGAATGAAGTTCATTTTAGACCGGGCATAATTAAAGCCACAATAAAGACTTGAAAATAGTACACAATGAATACTCCTACACTTGTTGGAGAACTAAAATCCTTGTCCAGAAACTCAAATTGAGCAAAACTTCCTGGGGCGACTGGAACAAGCAGGACCAAAGATAATGAGATTGCTAAGCAGCCAATAACTTTATCATCTCGGAAGAACATAGGAAGGACTGGGAGGAGGTACCGGGACTATTTGACGATATCGCATCTACAATCAGTACGCAATCAGAAACTGCAAGAACTTTTAATGAGCGATGGATTAGATATGAAACAACTCTATATATAATATGCTACTGCTCAGCATATACAAGAGTAATGAGCAATGAAGGAGTAGAACTAAGAAGTGCTTAGATGGATGCTACCTCGACAGAGAAGATTCCTATCTGGTAGGTAAACATATAAGCTTGGGTCCATCAAAATTTATAGCGTCAGAAAACCTACTCTAGACGGTGCAAAAGAGGGCATTTTCCGTACTTCATTGATAACAAAAACGAACCAAAATTACCAGTTGTTTGGATAAAATGTGCAACTATTTCAACAAAATGTTGAACTACTTTGCCTGTGCGTATTGCTCTTATATCTAGATTGAAAAAGCACTATTGTCTTTTTCAATCTAGCGCTTATAGCGCCAGAGTTTATACTTGCAACATTTGTGGTGCAGACGACAAACTCTTCTTTATCAAACAGTTTAATTCAAAAATATTTATCCATATTTTGCAATCACCCAGTTCTGATACGCACAAAATGGTACAAATACGTCCAAAACTACACCCTAAAACCCAAAGCAAAATATAGATACAAGGGAGTAGATCTAGCGGATCAACAATCACTCCATATGAAGAGAAATTGGAATTTAAAGATCCAAGGAACAAAAGCACGAAACTGGAAAAGCAAAATAAACCCTCCGTCGTAAACTAGACAAACGTTAAAGTAAAAGAAAAAGGGAAGAATAAGTCTTCAATGAAGACATAAAATGAAATTAAATAATTATCAACTTTGCCATAAAATGATTTTTGTCAGGCTTTTTCAATACCACTCCTTGCTCCTTCAGAGGCGTAACTTAAAAATCTTTCAACCCAAAAAAAAAATGGAACAGTAAAGCTCGCTTCCACTTTGCTTAACAACTTTTTTTAAGTCTGCTTTTATTTCTATAATTATATGAGCAATCTTCATATACTGTGTGGAGCATAAAAGTTTCAAATAAATGAACCAGTGTAATCGACAAAATGAAAATTATTGTTTGTGTTTAGAAGCATAAATATGATTTGATTAAATTTAATTACGTGTTTAGTTACGTGTATTACTACTACTTGAATGGAATAAAAGCAAAAGAATAAAAATAGCAATATTGAAAAACAAAAATGTATAATAAAAAGAGTACTTACAAAATGTAAGCATTATAAACTGAAATTAGAGGAATTCCCTTCGAAGTGCAGTTAAACCACAAAAGAAAAATATAAATATATAATAATAGGTAAAAACGAAGTTTCCTAAGCTTAGCATTGTTAAAGAAAATACTGACAAAACAGTCAAATGGCATCATAAAGGAAAATAAATTAATTCTTTTTCTTATTTTTTTTCTGGCCCCTAATTCGTATGAAAATTTTATTGGGCACCAACAGAGGAAAAAATATCAGTTTTTAAAAACCGCGCATAAAAATCTTTTAAGTAACTGAAAAATGTCCCCTGCAGTCCTTAGTGCACTAAAATAAAATTATATTTAAATATTTGAAAAGTGGTTCTCAAGAAAAATATACACTTAATTATAAAAACTAGTTACGAAAATTTCGTTGGTATGATAAAAATAGTAGTAAATGATTTAAGATAATGAATCAAAAACATGCATCAGTCCTTTTTAACTGAAAAATGCTCATCGAAAATCTTCTTGCATTGAAATAAACAAGTCTACTAAAATATTCGAAAAGTGGCTGGAAAAAATAAAATTTTAGTTTTGAATTTGAATAAAAATAGTTTAGAAAGTGCGTGATAAGTATAAAAAAACAAATATATAATGAATATAAGGCAGGAGCTTTAAAGGCTAGATTTAGATTCAAAAAGCTAATACTTTTGGAGCAAGAAGTCCACATGTCCACCAATATTCATAAATTTAGCATTCGCAACAGTAAAAATCATAACCTGAGATATGTGTAAAGGAATACTATTAGTACGATCGAAAAAGAAACTTCTTGAGGAATTTGAGGATCGCGCTATTTACAAACGAAGGTTTAGTCAAGTGTGAGCTTTTCAACGAAACACCCTTGAGGCTGCAAGCCACTCGTACCTGCGAAACGTCAGGAGGACATTTTTTCCCCCTCGAACTAAACTAAACGTCCGAAAAACTCATCAGCTTCAAAATTTCGAGCCAAATAACCCAGAAATAACTAATCCTAATGTCAACAACGAAGCCAACAAGTAGAGTTTGGCCGTTTTTAAACAAGTCTTGACTTGAATATTAATTTTCCTTCCCAGTCCAAACCCAGTTCTGTACACTCTGTTTCACTTTTCAGTCTTCGACAGCAAAAGAACGTATCCACAGCAAAAACATTCAAAGATAACACTTGTTGCACTTGATCCGTTGTCTATATCGTAACATGTTACAATCTTCTAGTTCGACAGCAAAACTACTTACTTTGTAATAAATGGGTAAAGCGGGATCAAAAACTACCCGATATCCCCAGCAGCCATGCTGAGGCTCTTCGCCAACATCAGCATTATCCTCCTGATGACTTTTGTCGACGAACCAATCGGGGGCGGTGGTTCCTCTGCGGGAAAACCTCCGGAACCTGACCGCAGCCTGCAGGGAGGCGGCTACTTGCCTCAGCCGCCCTCTTACAGCCGATAGGATTCGATGTTGATGCGAATTATCCTGGAAAAATAACACTTCAGTAAACTAAATTTGGGTTTGCAGTTCTTTGCTATACCGTTTGCGTGGTATCTTCAGTGATTCTGATTTTCATGTGAACCATTATCCGACAAGATCAAAGACACATTTAACGCTTGCGATTATCGGAACGTTTCATTTTTTTTATTTTCCTAACTCTTCGGTTAGTGATTAGCACAAGTTATTTTTCGACCTCATGGAGGCACTTTCCGCGCATCGGAACTAAAGGATACTGAAAACCCATCAAGCTTCCCAATTTGAACAAAAAGCTATTAGTAAGACGCTAATTAACCGTCACCGAAAAGGGTCATACAACACATTAAGGAAGCCATAAATATAAAATTGAATGCTATTATACAGGGTTTACCAAGCGGATATTTAATCGCATTCTTTTATATGATTTTGTCGTCGGCAATGTTGCTTGAGGCGGAATTAAGGAGAGTTTTTTAACAAACTGAGAAAAACAGTAGCAAAAAACAATGAGCAAATAAGAAATAGATTTAAAAGTAATGTAAATACCGAGGGTTTTTTAACGAGTGCCCAATTTTACAGGGCGATGCCTGGGGTGTTTTTAATATAAAACGTCCATATAGGCCAACAAAGCTTTAAATATTTGTTTTATCTAAGTAATTTTTTATGTACTATCTATATTTGGACTTGCTCTTTCATGTAGAAAGCGCCCCTTTTTAAAAAAAGAAACTCAGTTTGTACATAAAAACATTTTTGTTTGTACATACTCCAACTTTTGTACATAAAAAATTCGCTATGAAGAACCGTTTCGAGATATTTATTGGGAACCAATAAAACCCATGCAAAAAACCCTTTTAACTGAAAAATTTCCACTGCAAATTTTACTAAATTAAAACGAACAAATGTTCTAAAATATTCGCAAAGTGCCAAAACAAAATTTGCAATTAATAAAGCCAAGTCATCAAAACTATTTGAAAAATTGGTAGGTATGATAATAATAGTAGTAAATGGTTTAAATCTTTTTTAAAGTCAGATCATTTTCATTATTTTCAGAGCATTCGCATGCCTCTTAGTCATTTTCATGTTCTCCAACTGCGTCATTACGGCTTGCCACATTTTTTCCAATATTTTTGCTATACATTTCAACAAGAAGTTTTCGAGTCTCAAGCTTTTTCTGTTTTATTTCACGTTCAAGTCGTGCTTCAGGAAATTCAATTTGATCATCCGCTTTTTAGCGTTTTAGCAAAGTTTGAGGATTTTTTTACTACATCGTCCATGCAGATTTCACCAGAACCTTTAAGGACTTTTTTACTTTTGATGAATATTCTTTGACTCAAATGTTTTAATTAATAATTAAATATTAAAGCTTTTTAATATTCAACAATCATCTCATCAGTTCTCTTACTCCAAGTTCCAAATAATTGTGATTTTATGACCGCGTCGGCTGTCGCCTTAAGATCTTTCTACACTCGAAAAAATTCTGCTGGAAGATAAGAGTAGCCGCGCACTGGAAAGATAACTTGTATTTCTTAATCATTTCAAGAGCAAATATGTATGATCATAACGATATCTGCTCGAAGGACGAAAATGTTTGATATCCGGCTCGAAGGACCAAAATGTTTGTTCGATTGTTTGATTTTCTGTTAGCAGACTGTAAAAGCTCTTTAATTTAAGTCGATATATCTAATCACATTTAAACACTATTTTTATTTTGCGCCTTGCAACCAACATTCAGAGGAAAGCAAAATATTGTCTTTATTCACGACATAATTGGTTTTTTGTAATCCAGCAGATCTGAGCAGATTTCTATTGCTCTATGCTCCCCTTCTAGATTTCTAAGGCATTCTAACTCTTCCATTTTAATCCAAAAAACGATCTTTCTAATGAAATGAACGATACTTTTATCAAAATGCATTTTTCCAATGTTTGTGGACAAAATGGACTTAATTCAGTTTGATTGTTTAGATAGTATTTCTGAGCCCCATAAGAATACGAGAACTTGTGTGCTTCGACTGTCCAAAAGGTCAAAAGAGTTAGTATTTCATAATGAAAAAAAAATACCTTTGTCTGTACTGTAGAGATCAAGCTGAGATTCAACTTTAAATATACTTAATGCTGTTCTTAACTTAGCCTTAAATGCGAAAATATGAGGTATTAAGCCAAACCCCTCTGAAGTTGCAAACCAGTTGTGCTTGCCAGACGCCAAGAAAAAGCCTAATCGCGACGATTTAAAAGTCCAAAAAAATGTTTTTAAAGAATTGGTTAGTAGAAAATCATCTAAAATTGTTAACCATTGAACTTGTGCATTCTTCAAGAACACACCGATAAGTCAAAATCAAGGAAGTTCTAATTTTTATTTCAATACAAAAGCAGAAACCTTTTGCGATACAAGAAATAATACATGTAAAATTATGTGCGGATATTTTTTAATTGTTTTTAGCTCGTTTTCACTGCTGGTTAAGCTCTTGATTGCGTTCTTTACACATTTTTCTTGGTTGCAAAAGCAACTGTTTAATGCTAAAATCACTGATTAAAAACTGTACGCTTTACTATTGTTTCTATACTATTCAGTGCAAACACGTTGAATGGAACAAACTCATTTAAAATTCTGTGCTGGGAGCACGTTCGATCACAATTCAATGTCAATTACTATTTCTAAACGCGCACATTTTTCAAACTAAATTTTATATAGTGTCTTCCAGGTTTTAAAATAGAATCTTTTAGGATAAAAAAATAATATATTCTGTAAGTTTTGCCATTTTTGGAGTCATTTTTTTCAGTCAGAGAATGTTTTCCGATTTCCTAAAGTCTATAATAGTAGACAATAATAATAATCTAAATCCCTTTATAATATATCTACTATTGCTACTATCAATAACCCAGAGACTAAAAGGCTAAAAAGTTGAAAAGATTCTCATGCATCCAGCTCAAAAACCATCATAAATACTCGATTTATTACGGTAACATTTTCAATACTTTTCCATCGTTACAAGCATTAAGGGGGCTTTAAACTAGAAAAGCCTTCCGCTCTATATAGATATTGTCGTAAAGAGGTCGAAATTAGAAACTCCGCATCTGGTGAAATGTTGTCCAACGAAACCCCGTTTTAAAATGGCTCACGCTCTCTCAACTTTAAAGAGCGATGCAATTTCTCATACGCGAAACCCATTTTTCATCCTAAAAGCTTCAGCTTAATCTGGCTGTATAAATTCACCATAATTTTTCATAGCATCGTTTTTTACATCTGGGACATATTGAATTTTTGGGTGAATGGCCGAGTATCCATTAGGGGTTGGTCAATATTTTAAATATTTGGCTGTGAAAAATGTCAACAAATTTATTAACCTGGATGACTAATCAACATAATTGGGATAAAAGCAATTTCTTTGATAAATTTCAAATTGCCAAGAGGGATTTTTTAAGCAATATTTCGCCATTAAACCTCGGCCCTATAAATATGGATGAAATGGAAATCGGCAGATTTTGCCAGATTTTACGCGATCCAAATGAAAAGGACTGAATGCTATCAAGCAGTTTATACCGATTTAACGTGCAATAAAACCCGATTTTCAGCAGATCGGAGCAACCTTTCAAAAAAGTGAGTTGTTCTCTGATAGGTAACTGACTGTAATAACCAAATTCCCATTTAATTCATCATTAAACCGCAGAAAATTCAGTTTGTACATTTGTAAATGAGGGCAATTGGTATTCTGCACCATTTCTTCGAATTTCCATAGCCAGATGGGCTTTAATAAACAATAAATCCAGGCATCCGCTTGCACATATCGGAAACCGCAAGAAATGCCGTCTTGAATCCAAATCCTTGAAGGATTTAACTTGTCTGGTCCAAATTCGTTTCTCTATAGAATTGCATATGCATGCTTGTTTCTCTTATTTGAATATCTGATACGGTTTGAATGCTGGTTTATAGACGCGTCGAATTGATTGCTAATGTTGCTAATTAAACATGAAAGTCACATTCAGATGGATTTTGTGCCAATAATTTGCCGATAAAACTGCAAATGAAACGGAGTTTTGAGAACATAAAGCTGTTGTGATGAGGAGGATAAAACGAGAAAGGAAACTCAGTGAAGACTTAGAGGGTTGTCCAATCAAAATGTCGGGAAAAATGAGTCAAAAAGAGTGAAAAGAAAAAATTATTGAACTACAAAGTGCTAAGGCTTCATAAAAGTTTTGTCTTTTTTACGACTGTCTACATGGGACTTAAAAATCTATTGGTTTGATTTTAAACCTAAGGATTTTAAAGCTAATTCGTATCTGGTATTTTTTGTCCTTAAAAGTTTTTAAGCTAAAAATGTTTTATATCGTAAAGCAAACTGACCATTCAAAGAATAAATATTTATAAAATAGCATCTATACACTTGCAAAAGGAACATTACAAAAAAACACAAACATTCTTTGACTTTTGTTGATGATCTATAATTAAAGAAATATAAATATAAAAATATGAAAATGTTCTATAAACTACAGATTAAATAAATGTGCAGTTTGCCATCCAATGCCAAAATGTCAACACTGTTGCAGGATAGAATATTCCTTACGAAATTAGAAACTTTGTAAATTAAAATTCAATCACCAAACTTAACATGTAAGTAATATTGTGGATATTAAAGCAACACTTCTTGGGACACCCAGCATAATCGTTTACTCAGAAAAAGTTAACTTGAAAAATAAAATGCAGACCTAAATTATTTTCAGGAAAAGAAAGCTTAATTTTTAATATGTTTTATCAAGTACAACAAACTAATTCTAGTTGGAAAAGTATGCGAGTCGAAAAACCGGTAGTAGAACAGTTAGAAATCAAAAACAGAGAGAAGGAAAAGAAAATACAGATGAATGAAAGATCTTGGGAAGCTGATAAGTTGAGAAAACTTGAAAATCTGAAAAACGAACTGAAATAGAATCATTAGTACAGGTGGAGAGCACACATGAGTGGATAATAGGTAGAGGACAGGAATTGACATAAAAGTCTGGAAAAAGGAAAAGGAGAATTA